AACATTTCTGGCCTGGACTTTTTCAGCTGGTTTAGATTAATTTCAGGGTGCTGATTCCAAATCTGATCTCAGATTTGATCTATCACATCTCATTTTATGCTATCGGCATACCCAATTTTCATTGATTTTACCCGAAATTAACTCTGTCACTTACGATTGCAAGTTGTTGCGAGTCAGTGACTGCTTTAGTGTTAAAATATGGTGCTGTATTTTTAGGATAGTGTGTTTATAATATCATTTTATGTAGATATCCACATTTATTTAATATTTTTCAACTGCAGTTTTTATTGAAAATGCAATATTTGATATCTCAAAAACCTGATGTGATAGACAAAAACTGATGCCAGATTTGGAATCAGCACCCCAAAATTACCTTAAACCCATTGGAATACCTTATGCCAGAAAAAGTGTGTTGACCAGTGTTATCCCTGCTGGCGGGGTGACTCCACCAGTGGAAGCTCAAAGTTCAGAATTGCACCTGACCTCAATCGGGTGACTGGGCCCAATGGCGGAGCCAGCATTTTCAGGTAGGGGGGGGGCAACCCATCCAGCAGTGAAAAATGATAGAGAAGTTGTTAGAAAGTAAGGACTTGTCCCTTGCTTTTTACTCGACGCGTGTGCGGCGATGGCGCAGCCATCGATCGAGGGTCGAATTCGAACCGCGTCGTGTGATCGGCATCGCGCTCGCTGGAGGTGTTGATGCCTTCAGGGAAGTCGTGTAATGAAAACGCAACTGCGCACAATTCTGTGAGTCACTTATACCTGCTTTGCCGTTACTTATTGTCAATTATGGTCTCAGACTATTGTCCTATCATCTCATAGAGACCCTGGCACGTAATAATATGCTACACAGTGGCAGTGGGGGTCGCAAAATGCCGATATGTTACTAATAAACCCGAATGATCCGATCAAAATTAGGGATTTCGATCGGCTCATTGGGGGGGGGGGGGGGCACGTACGACCCCCCTCCCCACTGGCTCCGCCAGTGACTGGGCTTGTTGAGGGCATCGGGGGCGCTGCGACTGCGTCGGCTCGTGCGGTCGCGGCAGCCCGATTTTGCTCTGCTGGGTTGTGCCTCGCGACGTTCGGCACGCCGTCTGACGTTTTTGGCTCCACGCTCCTGAACAAGGTGCCAGCGCATGCGGTGGAACGTCGGGCACCGTGCGGCACAACGGCCCAGCGCTGTGCCTGAGTTCGTGGCTTGGGATTTGGGATCCCCACCAACCAATGAAGTCAGGATCAGGCTCGTTGCCAACCGATGGCCATGGACAAACAATAAGTCCATCATTTACGGTTTGCTTTTGCGCTTAGCTTGGCTTTGTCCAGCTCTGCCTGCTAGATATTGGACAGTCAGCATCTTTGAATTTGCTTTGTGCAGAATGGTTGCGTAACATAGAGCCATAAAAGAGACCGGCTTAAGGCGCATGCGTGGTACTTTGGAGTCATTTTTGAATGAGATATGTGTAATAGCAATACAGTGGAGGCTGGATATGAACACATCTAATATAAGCACAGTTCTGAGAATAACAACACATGTTTACATTGTATATATGTATGTTGTATGTATGTTGAACTTCTTTCGCATCGTGCTAATCGGAGATGCGGGGAAGGAAAACAAACGGAACACAAAAAAGTGCATAGCACCAGTGGTTTCTTGATATTGGAAGGAAGCGCGTTCCAGACGGCCCCAGAAGCGCATCTGCAAGCGCTGCGATGCGGTGGCCATCTTTGTTCGATAGTTAGCCAATGTTTCCCCAATCCACCCCTTGGAAGCAAGGCCATCTATGCTTAGATCCGAATTAGTATGCCCATATCAGAAGTTGTCCCTTACCTCCCCACCCCACACTGGTGGGAGGTAAGGGGCGGCTGCCCAGATTGATACAGGCACACTGCTTCGGATATAAGCACAGCCGGCCTTGCTCCCAAGGGGTGGCTTTATATCCAGCCTCTGCTGTATCACAAATACCGACTATCATAAACCCAGGAATGTCTGTCCTTAATGCTCGTGACGTCACTCCACATCGACCAGCCCCCCTCATGAATAATCATGAGCAGGTGACGTCCTCCAAACGGACACCCCCTCACCTCTCCTCATTAATAATCATGAGCAAGTGACGTCACTCCACATCGAACAGCCCCCCTCATGAATAATCATGAGCAGGTGACGTCCTCCAAATGGACCCCCCCCCCCCATTATTAGTACCTACTATGAGCCAAGAATGTCTGTGTAGGCAACGCTCGTGACGTCACTCCACGTCGACCAGCCCCGCTCATTAATAATCATGAACAGGTGACGTCACTCCACATGGAGCACCTTCCCCCCTCAATAACAATAAGTTTGGCGTCACTCCACATCGAACAGCCCCCTCATTAATAATCATTATAAGGTGACGTCCTCCAAATGGACACCCCCCGCCATTCATAATAATTAGCGGGTGACGTCACTCCACATGGGGGGCCGAGGCGCCTCCTCCCCCCTCCTCGGCGTCAACTCACAACCCTCACTACAAAGGCAGAACCCTCTCACGTCACGTGATCTCCGTCACGCTGTTGAGACATCAAAGTAAAAAGGACGTCATGATGAACAAGGGATTATAACCTTAAAATGAAATAGGTTTGTGTCACCGTGCCCTTACAAATTGCACACGCATTAATGCAAGTGAATATCACGTCGCGGTCTGATTTTCGCTTGCAAGTTTCAGATTTACTGCAATACACCCGTCCTTGGACGGGCAAAGGGCTAGTTGTACATAACAGTGAATAACATAATGGTAACATAGCACAGAGGGTTTACTTACATCTTAAAAATATACCTGAATCTAATTTAAACCTGTTCAACAATTGCAAATAATAGTTTTACCTTGATGGCTGTAAATGCTTTTGGCATGTAATTGTTAAAAGAGGACTAAACTCTAATGTGATATAATTAAATCGAATTAATTATACCGCAGCAAAAACATGGATGGCAAAATGTCCGCCTTTGTAGTGTGGTTTGTGTTTTTCTGGAGGAAGTTGCTATTTTTCTCTTGTAGAGATTCTGACAATTTCATTTTGGCTGTTTTTTTTATAATAATAATGTTACAATAATTAGTGATCACACAGAGTGTTGCCACACTAACAATCGCTTTGTTTAGTTCACTGCGGCAGACCAGTGAGCCAGCCCCACCAGGATCCTCAGTTTGATTCTGGGCAGGCGTACAAGATTAAACTGTGTTCTCAAATTAAACAGTGTACACACAACAGCACACAAACAACACACACACACACGAAACGTCCGCAATTTTACAATTGGTTTGTCACTTAATCTGGGAATATTATAGCTCTGAGGACTAACAGTTTTGGCTTGACCGCTGTGTAATAATGCCATGTAATAATGTGCGCCATGCAGTGAGGATAAGTCTTATCCTCATGGTTTTTTCGGTAAAGTCACGTAGGTAAAAAATTAAATTAATAAAAGTAAAATAAAATAAAAATCACGACGTTTCGGAGGCAACACAAGCCTCCGTCTTCAGGTGGAACCATCACAGCACGATTGCTGTATCAAGTAAGATAAATTCCAAGAGAACCGTCCTTGTGTAATAAAGGACTCCGTCACACGATGTTGATCTCCGTTGGTCCTTTATTGATGTTCTTCTCCTGGTCACCCCGCTGGCCTCCTCCTCGGCCCAGCGTCGTCTCTCCTTGCGCCCCGCGCACTCTGCAGCTACCCTGCTGCTCCGCCCTGCAGCTACACTGCTGCTCCGCTCTGCAGCTACCCTGCTGCTCCGCTCTGCAGCCACGCTGCTGCTCCGCTCTGCAGCCACACTGCTGCTCCGCCCTGCAGCTACACTGCTGCTCCGCCCTGCAGCCACACTGCTGCTCCGCCCTGCAGCCACACTGCTGCTCCGCCCTGCAGCCACACTGCTGCTCCGCCCTGCAGCCACACTGCTGCTCCGCCCTGCAGCTACACTGCTGCTCCGCTCTGCAGCCACACTGCTGCTCCGCCCTGCAGCCACACTGCTGCTCCGCCCTGCAGCTACACTGCTGCTCCGCTCTGCAGCCACACTGCTGCTCCGCTAGCCCTGCAGCTACCCTGCTGCCTGTGCAACCTCGCACCCTTTGCTAGCCCTCCGCTAGCTCTGCAGCTACTCTGCTGCTCCGTGCAACCTCGCACGCCCTGTGCGCCCGCGCACTCCGCTCTCTCCGCACCCCGCTGGCTGGCGCCGTCTGGCGAGCCCTATCAGCCTCGCGGCTGGGGGCATGGCGGCCACCCAACGTGGTCTCCCTCGTCACTCCCTCGACTCCTCTAGATGTCTCCCCGTCTCCTTCCTATAACCTCTCTCCCACGTGACCCTGACTCCACCCTCTCCCACGTGACCTTGACTCCTCCCTCGCGGATCGTCACATCCGGCCTGCCCATTTACGCTCACATTAAACTTGTATATATACTGGTTGAGGGTGGAAGGAGCCAAGGCAGGCTCCTGGATAGTATTATTAGTGTGAGGTTCGTGCGGCTGAAGCCGCTGCTAGGAATGAGCCTTTGTTGTGTAGACTGGTTGAACTGGGAGGTTCCAAGAGTTGTTAAGGTGCGGATGCTGTAAAGGTGCGGCTGCTGTAATTTTTTTTTACCTACGTGACTTTACCGAAAAAACCTAAGAATATTAATCCTTGCAGTCACGAAAGCTTCAAATCTAGAAAAGATAAGAGTCTTATTGAAGGAACCAATGGAGGGAGTCTTGTGATGACGCCTTCCATGTGCCACGTGCTCCTGCATTGCTCACTTCCAAGATGCTCTACGTCTATGATATAAACAACACCCACGTGACCTCTCAACGTTGATTACATGCGCGCCTGCGCGTGTGTGGCGTGTGTTTAGGGCACTCTCTTTGCGTATCATATGCGGTATTGTGCATCCCAATGCAATGTCTGTTATTTAATAGGATGACAACCCATTGATTTATAATATATCTTTCAAGAGGAGACCTTAAAAACCGTACACACATGAGATCACTTCAGTTGTGTTTTTGTTTTTTTATTTGCAGGCCGTTTTCAGATGTTGGATTTGGCCAGTAACACACACTCTTCACCGTCTACTTTACAGCAGCCGCTTCCGCATACACAGTCTCGCTTTCTTATAACGAAAAAATGAAAATATCGCTCGCTGCAAACGCAGACCCACTGCGTCCGAGTGGTTTGAGGATTTTAAATGACCTGGCAGACACACGAAGTGAAAGGCCTCTTTGGGTGAAATTCCTCGTTTGTTTTTTTTCTCCCCCGCCCCCTCTTTAATTCACACCGCGATGCAGAGAGGTTGTGAGTAGCCCCGTTAACCACACGCGATATGCATCAGGCACGCCGACCACCGTCGTAACACGCGAGTGTCGGCATGCCATTATGGAAACACAGGTGGTGGTAATGTTGGAACACATTCCAGGACATTTTCATGTTGTGGTTCGTGGGTGGAAGTGTGCACCCGAAATATTATTTTTCTAAGTGCCCTAGCCTTCCCATCATTTATTATTATTATTTTATTTTGAAAGTTTTTGTTTGGAAAGTTGCATGCAATGTTTTCGGGATCTGTCAATGTTGTGCTGTAGGCAACTCTGGTTACAGTAATTCAACATTTCTGAATGTTAATATATTGCAGTCGATTACAAATTATTTTCACCATTTCTAGAAACTCAGGGTCCCTTTTTGTACGTATACCCCTTCCCCACTGATACTACCAAGCCATCGCAGTACAGGTGGTTTTCCACTGGCTATTTGCCAGAGGTGGGACAAAGTCATTGTTATGCAAGTCCAAGTCGAGTCTGAAGTCATCAAATTCATGACTCGAGTCTGACTCGAGTCCAAGTCACATGACTCGAGTCCACACCTCAGAGGTGGGACAAAGTCATTGTTATGCAAGTCCAAGTCGAGTCTGAAGTCATCAAATTCATGACTCGAGTCTGACTCGAGTCCAAGTCACATGACTCGAGTCCACACCTCTGCTATTTGCCGTACTGAGCCTAAACCAAACCGTGGTATGCTGGTCTCACAAGAACCCGTCTGAATCTGACTCGGGGCCAAACAGGGCCAGCGTTAATGATGTGTTCATTGCATGTAGGCCGTCAGAACAGAGCATCACCGCATCATTTCTATGCATCTTAACTCATGGACTGCACTTGATATCGGCAGCACGGTTCAGCTTCGGCAGTGGAAAAACAACTTGGCCCCTCCTGAACCGTACAAAGCTGGCTCTGCACGACTCGTTGTAACAGTGAAAAAGAAGTATTCATTATTTGGCTTGGATTCCACTTTCCAAAAAGGAATTGAGGCCTTATCAAAGTCCCAAGTTCTGACAAGAATCAGTGAATGTTTTTAAACGACATCTTATAACATACCTTTTTTTAATTGTCTTTTAACTAGGATGCCGCGACTGTGTGCTTGTTATGCTTTTCATTATACTTTTAGTTCATCACAATGTTACGTCTTTTTTACGTATCAATCTTATTGCCGTTTAAATTGTGTCAGTCGCTTTTAATGTGCCTTGTTAAGCACTTTGTATTGCATTTCATGCACGAATCGTGCTAAAAAGTAAAGTTTGTTTTGATTTGACAAGAAAATACAGCAGTTGAGGCATTACACAAGTATAAACAAAAAAACAAGGCCCGAAATGTGAAATATTTAAGGATGCGTTTTCCAACTCAATACAATCAAATTAAACAAATTTACTTCCCAGCATACAATTTCCACGAGAAAGATAGTCGCAATATTTGTTTTTTTTGTCATAGCATAGGTGCTGCCCTTGACAAACCCACATGACCTCACGCCAACCAATCGCAGGGATGTAGAACATGTAGGGGCAGCAGTGCCGGCATGTTCCACAGACGTGAGCGACGTTGCTGCCACAATTTTATTTTCCCCCAATGTTGCAGCCCGTGTTGAAAACGAGGGCTGTTTTTTTGACAGTTGCGCTCCTGGCATTTCGTCCACCAGCTAGAATGGAACAAGAGAGATATTCAAAGTGTTGTTGCTTGCTGTAGATTGACTTAAGGCACGAACATACGAATACACTGACATGATTGTGACACACTAGTGCATTTTGTTAAAATGGGGAGAAAAAAAAATATCTCAAAATAAAAAAATGCACTCGCACACAACATCTGCACATGCACGGGGCTGTGAAAACACTAAACGCAGGAATTAACGTCTTAACACATGCGGCGCTAGCGTTTCCTCTCATAAATAACTCTCTTTATGTTTGTCTGCATGCGCCATTCACGGGGTGAATGTTTATGACTTTAAATACACTCGACAATTCATCGCGTCTAAGGCTCCCCATTGACGCCTTTACAACACACCGACCACGTGTCGCCCTGTTGTTGCGTAACGGCTTGTTCGGTGAATGTCGTCGGAACGCGACCCGTGAAAACTTCCCAATGCACGGATGCAGCTTCGATCTCTCGACGGAATAATCAGACTGACCGTGCGACCATCGACGCATAGTTTTCAACAACAACAACAACAATTTTAACTTATTTCGTCGCCTATCACAACGTCTCAAGGCGCCACACAAAAGTGATCCGTGGCGATGTCCGTGGGAAATTCAGCGAATGTAATGAAAGGCCGTCGGTTGACAACATCGCTCGCGAAGGAACAGCCACCCATTGCTGTGCCTCGGTACTTTAAGCGAAATTTCGCGCAACTGCAAGAAAGAAACGAAACAAAAGGAAGATCGCAATCGTTGCCACACGTAACTGCAGTTACCCGGGGCTCCCTTGCACACGTGTACTGAATGTGAACGGGTTTTTACTTGGTTAAATAAAGGACGATGACTAGAATATAAAGGATATATATATCGCTTGCCTTATGCTTGTTTACGATCATCAAAAAGCCAATTAAAGGTTAGTAGGGTAGGGTAGCCACTTGTGGGGAGCGGTGGCGCAGCTGTTAGCGCACTGCGCTACGAACCCGGTACCCCAAGTTCGATTACCGGTAACGGCCAAAACCATCGTAACCGATCCCGGGCCTCCCCTGGGTCGACTCAGCCTCAAATGAGTGTGTAAATATCGCCACTAGGAAGAGACAAAGGCGGTCGGGCGTGGTGCTGGCCACCCACTCCCTGGTTTACCGTTCCGACCTTCATAGGCAGTCTGTGAAGGTTGTGATGATGAGGGGGATTTTCCTATTTGTCTTTTGTGGCCACTTGATAGGCGTATGGAAAAAGGTGACGTGTCAGTTCGCTGGGATCACTCCCTCTTCTCGGATTGTTAGTTTTTGGTTGTAAAACTCAACAGCGGAGGATGTAAAATTCTCCTCGGTTCACACTTACACGTTGCTCGCTGCCCCCCCCACCTCCTCCTCCTCTCTTTCTCCTTCTCTTACGAGTCGATGCTTCTACTGCGTGACTCCACTCGCAAGGTGCATCCATTCCAAACTTCCGTTGAGCCGGCCGGTAGATACTGAGGCATCGTCGTCGCCACACTGAAGGCGGCTTCCGTTTAACGGGCAAATGGAGATATGCCACGGGAGGTCGGGCTTGGGAATAAGCAAACGTGAATTTGTGTTGAGTGGCAGCTGTTAAAGGTCAGTTGTTTTTTTTTACACGCCGATGTGATGACCAATAATATGTTTTTTTGTAACATTACCACGAGAAACGTTTTATTTGTTTGATGACCAGGTCGCTTCTGACAAAATGACACCTCGGTGGGCTTGGCCTGGTAGGATGGGGATGGTTTGGTTGCATCTGTGATTTGTTTATCTTTTAAATCATGTTTTTGCTTTGTTGTAACGTTCTATGAAAAATAGCTCATCAGATTCCTCCAGTAGAAAAAAAATATCCTGATTCTTAATGCGAATGTGAGAAGAGACGGGCCTCTTGTACGTTACGGCGGTCGATTTATTTCGTGTTAAAACCTCCTCGACATCACAGTCGGCTTGTGAATGATGGCGATCGCGATGACGATGATGATGGTGATAATGCTCACAAGATAGTTTGCGAAGTGGCTGGCCTGCTGAGGGACATCACGCTACGTCCGTGTTCGAGACACAGGAGCTGTGAGTGCTCCTCTGATCCCGCCTTCGAATTGCACTCGAGATTAAACCAGGCGACAAATTGTCATTGTGAAATACGTGGTCACAGTCGCCTTGATCGCGAACGAATAGACACAAAAAACGCGTTAATTTAGCTTTACACTTAAATCGACTTGACCCTGTTCCGAGGGCTACATTTGCACATATATATTTGTGATTACAGATACGTAGCAAGCGACTGTCGAGGGACTCCGGTCTTTGGGTTCTCGTAAGGCAGACGTATAAACAGCGGGGTGGGGGGGGGAGAGAAAAAAACAAAACACCTCCGTGGTCGTGTCACCTCACCGAGAGGCCATTCCTCGACACCACAACGTCGCCCTGCTCGCCACAGTTCATACGGCAATCGCCGCCACTTCCCCTTCTTCAGCTCCGTGTACGAACCCACCGCCTCCCGGACTACGCCATCGTAATTGTGTCGCGACCTCAAACTCCGGCGTGGCTTCTCTCGTCCGCTCTCGCTGGACACGCAAGGAGCGGCTCGGGGCGCGCGTGGACCGCGTCCTGTGGAGCGTCGTCGCCGCCGCCGCCGCCGCCGCAGCTGCTGCTGCTGCTCTCGTGCTCGTGGTCATCGGAGTTCAGGCCCTCGCTGTCTCCATCATCTCTGCCATCGCAGTCATTGTCGCTGTCAGCCGTGTCTTCTTTCAGGTCGTTGTCGTCGTCCTTGTTGTTGTTGTCGTCGTCGTCGTCGCGATCGCCGCGTCCGACTACGTGGGCCGTGCCCCCAGCGGACAGTGCTTCGACGGAGCCGGCCACCTGGGCACTCTCCGCGGGGACGTCCTTGTCCTTGTCCTTCTCCTTGTCCTTGTCCTTCTGCGCCTCGGCCTCCTTGGAGTGCCGCCACTTCATGCGCCGGTTCTGGAACCACACCTTGACCTGCGCGGAGAGAAATGTAGCAACGTCGAGTTTGGCCGCGAGTATCGTTGCTTAACTTGACCGCCCAGCTGAAGCCACGGCGATTTGCACATTCAACGCTTGCACACGCGACGATTTAAAGTGGTTTGGGTATGTCGGATGGTGGACGGTAACAAGACGAAAATGTGGCCGTGTTGTTAAGAGTCCCGACCCAACGATCTTATTGTGAATTGTTATATTGGCTGCTTAACATATAAATGGTGCTATATATTCAATAATTGTATTGCAGAGTATTTTTTCCCAACTAAAGAGAGGCAATTCCTGCTCAGGCAATCGTAAATACGTTGAATATATTTGAGAGAAGTGGCAACTTTTATTGTTCATTCATTTATGCAATTAATCATTCATATTCCGCCATTAAGTTTGTACAATATTAACTTCATTATGCTCTAACATAGCACCATTTTTATTGTGTTCTCGGAGGTCTCTCTCACACCACTCAATAATGTGTCCCCTGACTGCGTTTTCATTTTAGCGCAAATATTTTTTATTTTTACGATTCCGAAGTGGCTTCAACAGCTTGGAATTCCTTGCGCAAAAATGACGCCTCGATAAATTGGCACCTGCTTGCAAAAAAAGTGCCACGGATTTACGGTGCACATTACGTTCACTTCAGGAGTAAACTTTTATATCCCTTTCCAGACACGAGCGCTACCAGGATCCAAAAAAACGCGCCACATAAACATAACGCCCTACTGCACATTCACCCCCAGAGTAAGCACACTTTGTAATTATTATAATTAATTGCACTATTTCAAAAGGGTATAAATTCACTTGAACTTGATTCATAAACCTCTTGTCCAGCATTACATTCCGCATATTGGGAAACAACCACTTGTTATGTATATAAATGCTGAATTCTGTCGTGTGCGGTGCGTGTAAGTGTACACCTGCATGACATAAATAGATGCCGTGCAGTGCCTTGCTCTGACAGGCCAACACTGGGATTGTGCGATGTGTTTCAGAACGTGGCCACATCAATTAATGATTATTATTTACCTTCTTTTATTCGACTTCAACTGCGTCGTTACACGTGGTGCCTCCTAAAATTGATCCACCCTTAATCTCTGCAATAGCAGACGGACCTTTTATTTTTTCTTTTCACATGTTGTTGTTATTGCTGATGATCCGGTAGCCGTGTGTGTGTGTGTCACCAGATTTGCATGACATTAACATTATTGGAAAACGGGCACAGGTATGGGGTGAGTATTACTTTACAGAGTGTTTTTTTTTTCTTTAGAATACGAAGAAAACGGTACTTATACTGAGACACGGTTTTAAAATAAGTACAATTTGCTTGTGTAATTGCCGGCGAAATGTCACAGTACTCGAATTATAAATGTTACTCACCAACACACTGACCGGTGTGCTGAACCGGCAACTCATTGGCCACGTTGTGGTCACGTGACAAACCTTTACTAATTGGCTGTGTCGGGTGGTGACCGGTTTAACAACACATTTCTATCTACGCCATTTAATCCCCCCCCCGCCCCGCCAAAAAACGTATTATTTTTAATACAGGGTGCTTCAAAAATTGTCTAACACTTATATGGGACTATCGTTTTTAATGGAAAAATAACTGATAATACACTGTAACATGATACCAAATGTAATGTTAATAGCTTCAAAAAGTCAAAGAGTCTGCCACTTGTTCGCTATCGTTGTCAACGCGTGCCTGGAATCTTCTCCAGGTGGTCTCCAGAGCCCGGAGGCGGCACATTTCTCGTGATGTTGTTGCAAATTGTCGGAAGTGTTCACGTTTTTTTGAAGCACCCTGTATTGGTCGCCAAATCCTCCTGGTACGTGTTAAACCGAAATAAGTACAGTTCGGTTAAATTACGCTTTATAGTGTACGTGACAGCACTCCATACACACACACGAGTGTGCTACGGCCATTACACGTACTTAAATAACTTACGGGGCTTTAAACTGTGGGTTGCATTGAGCTCTGAGCTATAGGCATCAATTAGCCGTAGAGTGCGACGGTAAATTACGAAGGGGCTCAAACCGCATGCGAACAAGGGTGCATTGCTGCCAGCCCGCTTGGGCTCTCGCGTGGACGAGCGGTGTGCACAATAGATCCGTATGTTGGGCCTGCCAACGGAATGATGTGGGGCTTTGCCGGAGTGGGGGGGGACCGGAGCCTTCCACGCTGGTCAACACAGCCTCCAATCGGGCTGCTTGCCACTTCATGGGGGACTGCTGTTGGTGCTGGTGGTGGTGTCCCATCGGTTCCCCGTTCCGTTCTCTCCACGAACAAAGGAGATATCGACTCGGTTTCGCATTCTCAGGGAGGTGACATCCAGACGTCGCTGTGCCCTCCTCTCACTTGTGGGTTTACAAATCTGCATGAGGTTGCTTCGTTCTTAGGGTATGCACTTTGCACCATTTTACGAAATCAAGGCTCATCAATCAGCTGTAAAAGAAGATGCATTTGTAAAATAACACTGCCTGAAACTACGAATGATAGGCGACGTTTCTGGCAAAACTCCTTCATCGCAAATTATATGGTATAAAGAATGCCATGAAGCATTATAGTAACACTTCAGCCAGCTTCTCGGTTGTGTATATATGCATGCACGCTGAACTTCTTTTGCACCGTACGTAGTCAACCGTGCTAATCGGAGGTGCTGGGGGAAGAACAATACACTGAACACACAAAGCAGTTCTCAAGAAATGAGTGCGTAGCTCCAGTGGATTCCTAATATCGGGGAGAAGAACGTTCCAGACAGCCCGCAGAAGCGCATCTGAAAGCGTGCGATGCGGTAACCCTCTCTGTTCGTTTACAGAGAACTGATAAGGGAAATGCGTTCCATTTGTCTTGGGATTAAACACCCCATGAACAGTTGTGTGTGCTATGATAAAGTACCATTGCCCGAAACGTCGCCTGATATGTCTTTTTTTCGTTTAAGGTCACAGCGTTATTTATAAACGTTTTGAGGGTGTTTGTTTTGTTAATTATGCTTGCCCACCTCCGTCAACGCAGCAGCATCACCAAATAATTTTCCGATTCAGCTACGGGCCATTGCGTGCCGTGAATAGTACAAAACCAATCAAAGCCTTTGCTGCAAAGAGGCAGAGTTGCAAATGGAACAAGTGTCTGTTTTAAAACCTTGTTAACCAAATAAAAGGTGTACTTGTATTCTCTCAGGGAAATGTTTATTGGCATACAAAAATTAGGCGCCATATGAACTGCCGAGGAAACTCTCACCGTGCCCCAAGGAGTGTTCGAGGAGGCGGCCTACATTGGGAGATTTGCCAAAATTCATTTTCAGTGTTTTGGATGTTTTCAATGAGAGCGTTTTTTTAAAATTTACATTTTGTTTAACTGAGACAAAACACAGACGATACTCGTTATGGAGGCAGAGCTAACGAGTCGGGGGTATATATTCCGCATGTATTTCGGACGCGTAGGGTTTCCGTTTTTTAATCTTCGTTAAATAAATAGGACTGGGCAATCCCATAATGTTCGCAATGTCCGTGAAACCGCGTACGTCGTGCACACACGTTGCGTCAAAGCACTTGGGAATGTGCACGATAAGCCACTTCGTTGAGCTATCAATCGTGGCCAGGTCGCTTCCGAAAAAAGAAGCTAATTTCTCTCAAAGGTCCGCCAGTTGTATTTGGTCACCTGAGGACGATCGCTTGTGTTGCGATCGAAACGTGTTTTTTTTTACCTTTGTATTATTTTCTATCTAAGAAAGAACCAAAGAATATAACTCGACTCGTTCTTTACGCCGAGTGAACCTAGGGGACGTCCATGTCAGGCTTAGATCGTCCTACCGGTTGCTGGCACTGGTTTGGACGTGTACTGTAGGGTGGACAACAACAGCAACATTATAAGGGTGTTGTTCGGGCAAATGGAAGGAACCGGAAATGGAGGAAGACCTAACAGAGAATGGCTTCACGAGGATATAGTGAAGCCATTGGTGCCAGAAATAAAATAAAATACTTAAAAAAAAACTCGCTTTAATGAAATGTACTGTCCGAGCTGCCCCTCCCCCTGCCCCCTTCCCCCATCGCCCCTCCCCTCCTTCCACATCCCCCGCCCCTGGGCGTGGCTCCCCGAGACTTGCCGTGACGTAAGGGACCACGTGGTGATTTACAGGCAACGTCAGTTGAGCGTGGACAATTAGAGCCGTTAAAAAGATTGTTTAAAAAATATATATATATTATTTTTAATGATATAATATAGTATTGTCATCAGTATGACATAGCTATACGAAGTTTGCAGTTGATACGACATTGAATACGGCTGAAATCGAGTTACAAGATTTTTGGATACAACACATACAATAAGTTAAATAAAAGCGTGTAAAAATTTTAAAATATGTTTTGGATTTTTTATGATAGAACATCGTGTTGTCATCAGTATGACACACCTATACCAAGTTTGCAGTCGATAGAACATTGGGAAGTGTGTAAAAATTGAGTTACAAGATTTCTTTTTTGAGGATACAACAGACGAAGTGAGTTAAATAAAAGCGTGTAAAAACGTGGCAACTACTCGAGCATATTGGCACAAGGCAAAGAGGAAAGTGGAAACAATTTACGAGATATGCAGTGGACACCTACGGGGCTATTTCCCCATGAGTCGTGATGATGATGATGATGTTGACCGGTTGCTATCGGTGTCGTAATTAACGTTGCATTGTAACTTTACTGACTGTGGCTTATTATTAAAATCTCACACGAATGCTCTCTCTCATACGTGATTTTTTTTCTGATGGACGTAAAACACAACCAGCTCCCCAGTTTATTCGATGAGAAGATTGCATTGGGAAAGTGTTGTTAGCGAGCACCTATTTAAGACGGGGAGGGGTGGTGGTGTGGGTGAAAAACACATTCAGCCAAAGTATTCCTTCCCAATCGCTGCACACGTCCACAGATAGACAAAGATCTCCCGTATAGCCTTGACAGACTGTTGGGGCAAGTGCTGTTAGCGAGCACCTCTGAAGGTC